TAAGTCTTTTCTCCCCTTTTGCTCGACCCAATGGGTGCCCTGGGCTCAATTTCGGATCCAGTATCACAAACCTAATCCCTTGGTTTCGTAAAGGTATATCGAAAACGCGTTTCTATACATGATGTATTCATAGTGGAGCAGAGTGGAACAAGGGAATTATGTTTTCCACACAAGATAGATACCGGTATACCAGTGGAAACTGGTCTTCCGGCTTCACTGGCTTGCTGTGGACCACACGTGTCGTACCCTCTCACTTCGCAACCAGAAGAACAAGCAGCAAGTAGCTCAAGAATTAAGGGGACTCTAACCATGGCCACCCGCGACACGACTACGCCAGCATTCACGCCTCCCTCGCCTTCGCCCAGGGCTGACGCCGCCCCGTGGGTCAGCGAGACGCCTGGGAGAAGCCCTGATGTCGTCGGAATCGTAGACCGCCAGCGCTGCCCGCAGCACGTCCGACCCCCCCCCCCCCCCCCCTTCGAGCGAGCAAGCGTGATGCTGCAAGGGCGGCTACGAGTACGGTGTCGGTCGAGGCCCGTAAGGGCAAGTTGAAGGAGTCAGGACGTGCGTCGACGGCAGCTTCGGTTAGCTCAAGCAGCAAGAAGGGCTCTGAGGACTCCGGGAGTACAGGACCTAAGAAGAGAGCCGAGGGTGCGGGCGTCGAAACGGACCCCCACGCGGAAGAAAAGGCTGCGCTTCCAAGAGCCAAACGGGCAAAGAAGTCCCCTGATCCTGCTCCATCATCCACGGCACGAACGCTTGCGCCAGCCAAGACCGCGGAGGCGTCGTGTAACGATCGGGGTGGGTTCTACCTGAACAAGTTCATGGCTTCGTTTGAGCCCAGCCGAGCTGTGCCAGACCGAAGAGAAGCCGCTGCCCTGCCCACAGCGACGCCGGCCCAAGCTTCGTTTTGACATGATTCGCCAGCCGAGGTCACTGAGACCGACGTCGAGCCGGTCGTGGCCGAGCTCCGAGGGCTGCGGGAGGAGGTTGACCTCCTGTGAATGCTTCAAGGTCAAGGTGAGCCTCGGTGGGGGCCTGCTGCATCGGCTCCTATGTTGGAAGTTCCCACTAGTGCTGGTACTGCCCCACAGAGCTTGGAACAATATCATTTTTTTTTATGGAAACAGGAATTTGCCCTAGACAAGGAGTATAAGTTTATTTACCATTGTTATGGACAAAGCATAATATTAACCCCCCGAGTGCGAAGGCTTGTATTAGACACGATTGCACGAAAAGTTTATCCTGTATTAGACACGATAAGGAAATAGACTTACTCTTATTATTGAAATATACAAATCTTCTGTCAACTAGGGGAAGGTGTCGTGAAGGCTGACACGAACTAGCGTGCAAAAACCTGTCAACGTCTGCGTCATAGACGTGTGCCATTTTAATTTTCTAAATATCAATTGACAAAGTGTTTGGAAGAGTGCCAGTTCCCGCCATAAGGTAT